AACAGATTTTGAATAAATTTGTGAAAATGTAGCAACAACATCTAGACTTTCTGACGAGTCCATCCTATAAACAGTTCGTCAGAAAAGAAGAAAATAGTGATCTCGGAAGTGAAAGCAGAGCTAGAACTAGCTCCGACCCCTCCAGGCATTGATGCAGCAAAAGTACCCGCATCGATTCTTCATCCACCAGGAAGACGATATGAGTGCTGTGAAAGATTCTGTGTACCATCAGGACAAGGTCAACTTAGTTCTGTGGAAAGGGAAACGGAAATAGCCCAAGGTGACAGACTTTTTTGGTAATGAAGGCTAAATATATTTTACAGTAGCATATTATTTTGTTCTTGTAGTATACATATTTTAATTGTACATTCATTTTTTATATTGTATTGCTTATATTATTCTTTAATAAATCTATATAGTGTACAATGCAGTGTTAATTCATTTATATTCATTTAGATACATTTTTTAAACTAAAAATAGGTTTATTAGTACAGTATTTTATAATATTACAGTACCGAATTTTGTCTCTTTCTGTATAAACGATAAAAATTACACGGTCCGTTGCATATCGTTATAGAGGAAGAGGACTGTACATTCTTTTATGCTTCAAAGGTAGTGTTAACAAAAAAATATGCTAGTTGTTGTTTCCAATTTGAATATAAGCCTTGAACCATTATCAACAAGTATATTATGTGCAAATTATTTATTCCCTTTTCCCCATTTTCCTATATCATATAGACCAACAATCTCATCACGACCTGTATCAAAAAATAAATTACTCTTAATAGACATTTCATTAATAGAAATACTACAGTGCTTGTCCTGATCTAACATTATGTTCACTTTTAACTTTGGGGCATCAAATAATATTTGGTCATTATTCATACCAGGTTTACAGACCAAATTTTCAGTAATTTTTTAAGACTTCGTTTTTGAGGGCAAATAGAATATTCTTTCGTAAAAGCATAGGCTCTTGGGCCCAAAAAATATAGTCTTAATGCAAATTGTTTATATTTATCACAATATCTTACTCACTAGGGTGCTAGGGGTTTGTTTAAAAGCTTGTCAGACATTTACAAAAAATTAATTAAAGAAGATTTATTATCTTCCTTCTTTTTGGATGAGGTATATGCTTTCTTGCATTTGCACGTAAAGTTTTTTAATTTAAACCTCATTTTCCTTTTTTTTTGGGTGTACCACCAGATAACTTTGTGGGGGTTTGTGTTGCAGCTGATGTGAAGCATTGTGGAGTATGGGGCCTGTGTGGAGTAGACACTCCCTGCCTGTTAACATCAACATCTAAAATATATAAAATATCATTTATTGTGCCAAATAACATATAAAAACGTTCCAGGCTGATAAAAGGATAAAAAGCTGATGAAATATCATTAAAATTTTCACAAATTCCAGATCTAGATTTATAATAATAAAAAACACAACAAACAACTTATATAAGTGGATACTGATTTTTATATGACTTTTATCATAAAGCACTATAATTGTCAACAAATAAAAAGTATCTACCTTATAGCCTTATGACTTTCTTTAATGGTCCGTCTGTTTGATTTAAATATTGGCTGTGCGAGAAAATCGTTGGATATGCTTGTCCAAATAAGGTCTTCCTTGTGTTTCTTTTGGATATGTACACCAGTTCAAAATGTTTCTCGCACATTTTATAATTAGTCTGCAATTCAGCATGCTTAAAAAGCAGTCTTCCCTGTTGGCTGCTTAAAGACATAATTTAACTCTAAAAAGTGTATTTAACCAAAATATAGACATTCAGACAACATTTGTAGCACGTTTGAATTTAAAATTTAATTTGTTTACCTGCTACGATCAGTCGGTATTGAAAAGAGACTAATAAAAATACAGGACAAAATTCGTTTGCACATTTTCAAAAAATTTTGGGAAGTAGGAAGCTATAATCGTAGATTAGAATATATAGCTGCTCTCATGGACGTTAAAGAGAAGAGTTCTATGTGAATTAGGTGTTCGACGAAAACAAACAACGATACGGACAGCATGCCATAATTTAATATTTTCCTGTTTATGGCGCTCGTTCTGTTATTTGGAAGGACTGTTTTATGAAAACTTATAATATTAGTAAGAAATTAATAGAAGTTAAAACAACGAAAAAAAATGTTCTAAAATATCAGGCGTCATGACATTAGATCAACGAGGATCTCCTGAAAATCGGAAGAAGTTATTATATGTTGAGAAAATAACGGCAAAAAATCACCTTTTTAATATCACAAGATACAAGAAGGCACTTATTGAGGAAATATTATTTACCTTCATACTACACACTCACTACTATTTAAGAGGCTTTTAAGAAAATATACCCAGATAATTTTAATAATCGTATAAAATACAATAACATATTTTACAGCTTAATCATCACTATAAAAAACTTTAGAAAGACACATGCGGTACATGTGACAAATTAAAAATAAAAATTAATATATGCAAGAATGGGATGAAATGATACAGCTACAAGAAGAGTTAAAGGAACACAATTTACAAGCTCATAAGGATATAAAGTCAAAGAATAAGATAAATTTCTGATTAGAATCATGCTAAAACGGAAACTATTACATTTATTCTCCAACAATACCTGCCACGACTAGACCTCTAAAGGGTTGAGTCGTTTTGCTAGAGGCGATTGTGTACTTTTAATCTTACAGTTCACGACTGTGACAACTCACAAGCTAATTGCTATTTATGGCATGAATCTTTAGCAAAATGGACCAGAAATGAAATAAGTTCTTGCCTATATAAACACCTAATAAAAGATTTATATCTTAAAGTCGAACACCTAATAATTTATTCAGACTGCAGTCCTGGCCAAAATAAAAACTGTTTTATAACAGAAGGTTGTTTAACTACTTTACAATGCTCTGCAAATTTAAAAATTATTGATTATAAGTTTGTAATACACGCAAAACACACGTGGAATCCGATACGGATCATAGTTTAAATAGAAAAAAGAAGAAAAAAATTAGTAATCAAGTAGAACATGCCACATGATTGGGATCAAATAATTCGGCAAGTTGGGAGAAAGCATCAATTTGTACTTACAGAAATGCATCGCAACTGCGTTTGTTAATTTGAGTGACTTATTTAGTTCCATACTAGTTAATTGCAAAATTGATACTCACAATAACAAAATAAGGTCTAGATGATATTCTTATTATTTTCCTTAAAAATTTGCCTAAAAATGGATTTGCCTATTTTACTAAAGATATATAATAAAATATGGCTTGAAGGAGTGTTTCTACATACTTGGAATAATTTTTATACAAATAACCTATGCTTAAACCTGGTAAACCACGTCAGATTCCAAACTCCTACCGTCCAGTATCATTAAAATGTACAATGAGCAAAGTGCTCGAAAAAATAATTAACAACATATTATTTGGATACTCGAGCAAAGATCGGTTTTATTTAACAAACAAAGTAGATTTCGCAAAGACGATCTAGACAGCTTAGTTCACCTCGAGTCTGAAATACATGAAGCTCTAGCAAATAATCAAAGCTGCATAGCGGTATTTTTTTGATATAACCAGAGCATTTGATACAGTTTGGCGCCATGTAATAATTAAAACTTTACAGAATTAGGTATACAAGGAAATATGCTAAACTTTATCACTAACTTTTAAAAGACCGAGTTTTCAAGTAAAAGAAGATAATTTCATTTCTAAAACAAGAATACAGGAAAATGGAACCCCTCAAGGATCATCGATTAGTGTCACTCTTTTTCTTATTGCTATTAACAGTGTTTTTGGAAAACAATTCTCCACCAGTAAAAAGTAGGCTATACGCAGATGATCTCATAATTTATTGTAAAGGAAGAAACATAGAACTAATTAAACAAACCTTACAAGATACTATTTCTGTATTAGAAAAATGGACAATGAAATCTGGAATGAAATTTTGTCCCAACAAAAGTAAATGTATCCATTTCACCAGAAAACGCAGTGTTAGTAGTCTAGAACTTACAATATTTAATACAAAAATAGAATATGTTAATTGTATCAAATTCCTTGGAAATTAATTTTGACAAACATTAACTTTTTAAGCAACATATTTATTATGCTAAAACATCTTGTCAACAATATTTGAACATAATGAAAGTCATACTCTACTAAAAATTGGGGATGTGATCAGATATCCTTATTGACAGTATATAAAAAGCCTTATTAGATCTTAAAGTCGATTACGGTTCGATAGTGTATGGGTCTACCAGTCAATCACTTTTGAAAGAGTTGCAAAACAATCCAAAATGCTGCTGTAAGAATAGCCTTAGGAGCTTTTTGTACCACATCTACAGATAGCTTACTATGTTTAGTAGGAGAAATTCCTCTGGATTTAAGAAGACAATATCTTAGCCTAGCATATGCTGCAACTGTTTCAGCAAATAGTGCAAATCCTGTCAGAAACAATGTCTCTGCTTCTCGTTTCCACACATCATATCGTAATAAAAAAATATCTAAACCCCCTTTTTATGAAATACTTAATAGATACATGAACAGCAATAATACTGTCCTATCCCTAAAATATATCAAATCACCCTTTTAACCCCTCCTCCTTGGATGGTCACAAAACCCTTTCTAGACTTGAGTTTAACAAAAACTAGTAATCAACTTCCTCTATGTTAAACAATTTTACAGTAAGATGGATGAGTACCAGAAATACCAACATAAATTATACTGATGCCTCCAAATCAGAGAAAAGGTGTGGGATGTGCCTTCATACACAACGACTACACTGCTTCATACAAAATCTCAAATTTTAGCACAGTATATACAGGAAACTTAATTTAATAAACAAATTACATTTGTGATTTATAAACAATAATTACACACTAATTTTACAGATAAACTTAAAGTTTTGGTGTATTTTCGTTGTATTTTACTAAAAAAAAAAGTATTCTAAAAATTATTTTTATTAACTAATAATGGATCATCACATGTAAAAAGCACAAACGACTATAGGCGCTAATGATATACTTCCTCACTGAAGATGAACGTAATGAAGATTTAGTAAACAACAACGAGGAAGACTGCAAAGAGGATAGAGTAGAGACGCAAGCAATATATTATGATTATAAGAATGAAATTGAAGATGAATACTTAAAATTCAGTCCCTCACATGTACCTTACTTGGTCGGAAAAGATAAAAAAGTAAGTGGGCAAAATATCCCCCTTCCACAACACGAACAAGTGGAGTAAACTTTATAGCTCGTATGTTAGTTATTGCGACAGGAGAAAAAATTGACCAACACACTTCTAGTGTAAAAAGTGTGTCACATTCATGTGTCTTGAACATGTAACTTGTGTATGTGCAGAGTATTATTCTGATAATATGGTTTAAAGCAATACCTAACTTATATTTTTTTCTTTCTTTATGTATATTTTTAGTAAAATAAATATAATGATAATTTTTATGCCTATGCTTGGGAATAAAATAAGGTCAAATGTACTTTATACCACCCTTTTCACGTGCAAAAAAGTTATGGGGACTCATAGTCCATCGTCACTATCGGTGCACAGAAAACGAGCACCAGTCACGTAATGTTAAGGTTTCATCCCATATAAACATAATATTTAACTTAGACATGCCACAAGAAAACTCCTTGAGAATAAAATACGTTTTACCACGACCAATTTTCCTAAAAATTTCTCCTTTATCCATAATAACGCATCTTTAACTAAATATTTTTAATACAGACCAAAAACGAGTATTTTATACTTTCTAAAAAACAAAATCAAACCAAAATGCATTATTCTGGCCGGGTTTATGATCTATATAAATGTAAATGAGCAGAAGTGAACACTGTGTTTTATGAGATACATTTTAACGACGCCACCAGATCTTTCATCAAACTTTTGACGGTAAAAGATCTATAAAAAAATTAAAGCAACCTTTAGAACTTTAAATAAGCACCTTTAAAGAATAACGAAGTTATTTTAAAGTTAGTATTGAAATTTCAGGACACTTTATGTTTACACAAGATAACTAAATTTATACAAATTTAGGAGCATAAAAAAAATGTATTTAAATTTTATTATTTTATTAAAAGAATATTATATCGAAAATGAAAGGGGATATTATTTTATTATTAGGTATTTTAAAAGATAATAAACTTAAACGAGTGTCGCAAATATTAAGACATATAAGAAAAAATTAACAAAATATAACCAATTAATTGTTTAAATTAAATTAATAGACCAGGAAAATAAGCAAAAAATATACCCTGTTTGTGACACTAAACCGGCCAGACAAACGACATGACAGTTGTTTTGAGTAGTATGCTGCCGTCCTTAGGAAAAACACCGCATGTACAAAAATTATGAAAATTTAGTTGGGTGCGACAACTAGATCTATAATCGTTTCACAATTTGTCGATAGCTCACTACAACTTTAACCCTAATTAGAGAACTGAAATACAGAGGGGATAGGCAATTCGATATAGTAGTAAAAACCAATCTGAAACTGACGGTTTAAGATATTTTCGACTAACCCATCTTGTATCTAGAGGAATACAATACAGCAATTAACCTTATAATCCGATTACGAAGGCATTTTGGTTACAGATGATCAACCAGTGTCGTAAAGTATATGATTAAAACATTTATTTGTTTTAAATAAATATATTTTTTAAATTGTATTTTTGTTTTAATAAAATTTCTTTATTATATTTAAAATCCAGATAAAACTACTAAATATTTTTGAAACATTTAAACGCAGAATGAAATATTACATTATTACTGAGGGCAGAAAGTCCCTGAAATCTTCTATGATAATATTTTATTATGATATGTAACAGGGGTGAAAATAAAAGAGAAAATATAGTATAATGTTTAATTAAAAATATTGCATGCAAAAGAAACTTTTTATTTATTCTAATAAATATTTCATTCTGCCTTTAAATTTTTCAAAAATGCTTTTTGGTTTTCTCAGGATTTGAAAAAAAAAGGAATACATTTAAATCACATTGAACATATTGACCCACATTTTTTGCTCTTCTTCTATTAAATGTCTTACTGCGTCTTTCTAGTTTTGTTCTGTAATATGTTGTAAAGACTTGTGTAACAATTCACGTACAGCTTGTATTTTATATGACATATTTGTTCTAGCCACATAACTTTTCATTTGTGTCCAAATGAATTTAATTGGATTTATTTCGCAGTGGTAGGGTGGAAGTCTAAGGACTGTGATGTTTCGCCTTTTCGCCATTTTGTAAACTACGTATTTCTTGAACTTAGATTTGTGTTGAGTGGCAATTTTTAAAAGATCTGCTTTTACCATTCGATCTTCGTAAGGCAGATACTTATTCCGCAGCCAGTCCAAGTTTTTCTACTTGTCCTGAATAATAAGGTGCATTATCTAATACTATAATTAAATTTGGTGGTATGTGTTCAATTACATGATTAAAATACTCTTTGAAAACATCAGCTTTCATCTCCTCGTGATAGTCTTTTGTGCTTTTGGACTGAAATTTCAACAAACCATGCTTAACAAATCCTTTTTCACTGTTAATGTGAAAATTATTAATTTTTTTAGAGTATGACCTGAGTTGACCCACGTGTCATCCTCATAGGAGATTGATTTTTCTTCAGCCCGGAATTTTCGTATGGATCTTAGATACTTTTTCCTCCCACATATTATCTCCTCCCGGTCAATCTAAAGTGACTTTCGGTCTGATTTCTCCCACCGGAAACTTAATTCTTTTAAAACTTGCCACAATTTAGTTCGTCCGATATGAGGCAAATCCGGGTCGTCTCTAACTTCTTGTAAAATTTTGTTTTGGTTTGGTATTTCTTTTTTAAAATAAAATCCATGAATTTTATTTCGAATACCATTTTTGGCAAATTCATCAATTTTAATAGGCTTTTTTCTCTCTTTAAGTGTTCGATTGTGTTTGGGTTATCTATACTGTGTTTTTTTTCTTTCTGATAGTAACCTATATATAGTTGACCCCCCTACGCCAGTCATGTTGGCACAACTATGTTGCGAACAGTGTTTGTGGGATTCTGAGAAACCAGAGCATCCTGAACATTTAGGACAATAGTCTTCTCTCTAGGCAAATAGACAGACTTACTGACTGTACGCAACAGTACCAATGTAAAACTTGATGATGTTGATGACGAAGCTATCACTAACAATCCAACAAAACGAGCACGCGCGAAAGGTACGTATATGTTCGTAGGTATATGGAATAAAAAATCACTCACGCACTGCATATAATTCTTAAAAGAAATATTGGAGACGCTAATTACTACCGTAGACGCGAAACACTACGTTCGAATAAACACATCTCGTGCTCACACCTTTCGTGCTATCAACAATTTGTGAACGGATAATAGTTATAATTTTTCCCAGTATCTTCCATATTAACTATAAAATTAGGATAAACTACTGTTCGTTTTTTTTAAGACATAGTATATTTACAAATTTATTGATATAAAGTAAACTTATTTGTAACCGCATTGTTGTAATAATTTTAGACCATTTTAAAAATTGCAGATTCTTTGAAGTTCATTTACTTATTATTATAAGTAATGCAGATGGTGTATTTTTCCTTAGTAGACAGTATGGACCTCTATAACAAGAACCTATATGTTTCCTGCTGTCGATTTTTTGGACTTAATTATTAACAAATTAAGGGCACAAAACGGTAAATGTTTGCTTTTTTCGTCTCTCAGCAAAAAGTAAAGCGTTGTAAACAAATATGAGAAGGAAAAACATTTTTAAGGTATACATAAACCTTCAGAACAGCGTTTTCTAAACGTAACTATTCTTATTTGTTGCTTATAAAGTTTGTAAAATAAGTCAAAAATTTTGTTTTTTTTTATAACTGTTATTGCCTTTTTTTAAAACCTTTACATTACATACAATGTTGTGTCTTGTAGTGTAGAGTTTTTTTTACGATTTTGCAGAAACTACTGGCAACATTGTAATGAACTTTTATACGAATATGTTTTGAAAGCTGATACATCCCATGAATTTGTTTTTATATCTGATTCTCATAGGGTTCGCTAGTTACACGGATCGTACTAAGTATTAGTCAATATAACTTTTTTAAGAGTATAATTATTAATCAAAATTTCAAGAAAACTTAAACATCATTTAATTTTACACGAGAAAGATACTCTTGGTAAAACTCGATACTGTCTACCGTTTTCGAAATATTTTGATTTGAAAATTATGAAGTAATAATGGTGCTGGTATAAAAATGCTGTTAGCGTCACTAGCCTCTCCACAAGGATCTACAGACCGAGAATTTGGCATCCAAATTCCACTGCTTCGCGCAATCGTACTTGTAAGTTCGTATAGTCGGCTGGAGTTACAATTTGCCAAATTTAAATGTAATCGTTTCTACTCATTCATATTAATATTATAATGTATAATATATTAAAGTTTTTAATATTGGTAATATTATTAAAGCTTTTAATACTATTTTTTAATATTAAGAATAATATTAAGTAATTAAATATTGCGCCTTCCTTAAAAAAAGTACGAGATAAAACTCGTTTTTTATATCTTTACGTATGCTAAGGGTAATAAATTAAAATCCTTCAATACAAGACTAAAGGTAGGTACCTATAATTTGAATAAGCTGGTTTTGCCCATACTGACTTTCTAATTCTAATTACCTACTAATTTGCATAACAGTCAGATATTGTACCTGGTCATAATGCTGTTTTAATATTAGGATTTTCATTTCGCTTGTTGAAACTTCATCCGATATTAATTTCTTGGAAATTTTTATAAGGCTGAGAGTACTTAATCGGAATACTCGAGTATTGTTGAAAAAAACTGAAATTGAAGGTACTACACAATCGAAGAACTCAAAAAAATTAAACATTTCCGGTATTCTTTTTCCAGATCGTATTTTGTTTTCGAGATATATTTAAATTTGGGAATTTTTTATTATTTTTCCACTTTTTTCAGGTTCTTTTTTAATTTAATTTCAGTATATAAAAGCCTTTACAATATTATCCAAATTTTATTTGGAAGTTAATCTTAACTGTTCAGAAACAATTTGCTATTTAGGAAATGAAAATTTGTTTTTTTTTCCTTAGTTCTTAATTTGCTATAACATTTCTCATTTGATTTAATAAAAAATATTGTAAATTCATTTTTTTGAATAATTATAACGACTTACATCCGAGTAGCT